AGGCACACACCAGATCATCTACATTAGCCCTCTTACAGCACTAAACTATGTTTTCTACCTTTATCTTGCATCTACCTACCACTTCAGCATTTTATTAAAAATAATAATAATAATAATAATAAGGGAGAAATGTGGGATTCACATATAAAACAAGTATAAAAATCAAACGAATAATCATAATTGACCTGATTGTTTATAGTTTATGATGCGTGATCAAAACCGAAAGTTTCTGTGATGACTGCCCTTGCACTGTTCACCATGTAAGAACTTATTCACTATGTGAGAACTTGTTCACCATGTAAAAACTTGTTCGTTATGCTTCAGATGATTGGAGACTGTTGAGAATTAGGCTTGGGGTTGATTAATGATTGTGCATTGAGTCCCCTATACAGAATTGTATTGTTGTTAACAACCATATGATCAATAAATATGAGAGAGGCCCTCTCAAAAAAAAAAAAAAAAAACTTCTTCCTTCAACTAGTTTTAGTAGGAGATATCTACAACATAGATGCAGCTAGTGTGTTCATGCACAGTGATTTCTGGTTTATGTTATCTCACTGAGTACTCCTTCTGGCCTTCCTTTCGCCAGATGATTGAATTATTACAATGACTGGCCATCTATTGATACCAAATGCTCTAGAATTCACTAGTGAGTATCACTGATAAATGTCCTTAGTTTAGTTTTTACATTTAGAAAAACATTTTGACAGAAAAAGACTTAAATTGCACACATTCACCTACATAAGATACAGGAGTCATACCTTACTATAATGTCAAATATTCAGTAGCAGTCCTTTAAAAAAAAAAATCATAAATAAGAGCTACATTCTATGCAAATTAGGGTTTAATGGATTTAAGTAAATTACTCTAGTGCACCAATGATTGCAAAATAAAGCCTGTACTATATTAAAACTAAGCAGTAAAGACAAGCATACTAAAATATCCAAAGCCTTTAAAATCAAGAGGTCCTTTTTTTATAATACAGATTCCCATGCCTTCTCCACTCCATTCCCATTTTGAATCTCCATTTGTGTTAGGATGGGGCATGGGGAAGGGAATAAAGAATATTTTGTTTCTTTTTTTTTTTTTTAAATAGTCTTCAGAGACAGAGATGCAACTACTCTTAGATCAGCATTTGGGAACTACTTCAGGTGATATAAATGGAGAACTAAACATGGCACATAGATACCTCTAACAACTGCTAACTAGTTGGGCTTGTTGAGCAACACAGGGTTTAAGTTAACACCTGACAGCAAAAAGGCTACATCAATGTGACCTGCTTCTCAGGAACCAGTTAAGTGACCAATTAATTGGTGCCTCAAAAATTTTATGGTTTCCAAGCAGATTAACATTAACCCCCTACAAAGACCAAATTCCACTGAGATTTTAGATTCTAACTTTGGCACCCAAAGAAAATCAATAGTCTCTAAATGGAGATGGAGTAAGCACTGGAGAGTACCGTACTTTAAAAGATCAACTTCTTAATGATGTTATACCAACTTCTTATCCTGGGAAATACAACTTCCTAAAACTTGCCAGCAGGCAGTTCAAATGAACTGAAAAATGAAGAAAGAAGTGAAAGAGGAGAAAGAGGTTCAGATGGAGGGACAGACTTGGAAGCAAAACAAATGTGTCAATTCCTTTAAGGGATACAGTGAGTTGGATACGAGATGATTACACTGTGCATACATCTATCAATGTATTACAGAATGTAAAGCTGACACAAGTGAAATAGTTCCAAAAAATATTTAGCTAGAGGATCCTATAGCTCAGCCACTTTGAAAGTATGATCTGGCTGCTGCACCCCAGGCCAAATGAATCACAATTTTGGTGAGTGGGATTCAGCCATCAGTATTTTGTAAAGCTTCCCCAAGAGATTTCAAAGTGTAGCAAGGTTGAGAGACACTGCCCTGAACCTTAGGAGTATAAAAGCAAAAAAAAGATGAACCCCACATAATTACAAGTTTTCCAAACTGAAAACAGGTCTCATTTAAAATGTAAATAATGAAACATATAGTCCTTGAGCTTACAGGTATTTACAATTATCCTCAACACTAAGATACAATAATAAACACTCTTTACCATCAGTCTCTATTAGTTATCTGATCTGTGATATAACTTGAGCAAGCTAATAATCAAGACATAGAGTATAAAATTTTGACCACTTACTACATCTTAGTTTTACACAAGTAAGCACTGCACTAGCTTTTATCCACTTTCATGGTTAAAACAAATTTTCTGGATGCCAATCACACCACATTATAGCGTCAAGGTGACACAACCTAAAATACCTTGTTCCTGAGAAACTGGAATGCAGCCACATTCCCCATCACTAAAATTACACACTTTTGAATGAGCAAAAAAATCTCACAGTTCTAAACCTAACTCATTATCAAGCATATGTTTGGCATATTACATGCAAGCAGTATCACACTGAAAGTCGCTCAAATGAATGATATCTGTCATATCTGTCAACTGTTTGAGTTTTTACAATAATCAAACCTTTATCAACTGTTGAGCAAAAAGCCCAGTCTGGTAAGTTTTTAAAAACTGTACTAAATTGTGTTACACCATTTACCTCCTTTAATTTTCATTTAATGTGGAAAAAATGAAGACAATGGAACTTTTTCAGCCAGGTTAGTTTTATACATGATTATCATCTCAGAGTCACCTTTAATCATCACTCAGGCAAAAGAAAAGTTTCTGCCTAACTACATAATCTTCTAGGGAAAAAAAAAAACTTGTACAATGAGCACTGAAATGGCTAACAGATGTTTAGCCATTCACTCTAAAATCACTGAATGAAAAATGAAAAAAAAAAAAAGCTAAGCATGAGCTAAAATAGAACTGAAATAAGCAAAGTTTAAACATAAGAAAAATAATGTATGTTCTCACAAAAACAGGCAAAATTTTAGACAAGACTAAATATGCATTTTAAATGCAATGGACAAGGCAGATCCTGATGAGTTAACTGCCCTAAGTAGAGGCCTCAGCAATTCACAGCTCAATTAGAATAGTGTCTAATGATGTTACTATAACACCGGCTCAATCAGAAAAAACAGCTTCCAAGTCAGGGAGCTGGAGTGTGACTGGGCAGCATAAATTAGTTGAATACTTGCATTTTAATTTGGGGAGAAAAAAATCTAAAGGGAATGCAGAAAAAAGAATTCACACACAAATGAAGAAATAGCTCAACTAAAATGTAGCTTTAAAAAGTGAAGCATAGGTTTTTAGAAATAAGATTTACTGTTTCCTAGCATAAGCAGAATTGCTTCAAAAGCATTCAGAAAAGGTCAATGATCCACATAAAACTTACTGGGAAAAATTTCAAAGTTGACTTTCTCAGCACACATTTTCATTAAATCTGAAACCGATCTTAAGTTTTTTCTAAACTGAAGATTTAAAATGAAGTCACTCAGCGAAAACAGGTTACTTTCTACTTAAACAGTCCCACTTCAAAAATTAAAACATTAAAATGTGATACCTCTTTAAAGAAACCTTACCCAAAAACCTGGAAAGCGAATCAAAGCCACTTCTATTAACAGACTCATAGAATGTTATATCAATTTTCTCCAGATAGGCTCTTAATTTTAATTCCAACAATTTAAATCTACATAATTCATCACCACCTTTAGAGCTAAAGATACTCCAAATCCTAAATGCTTCGTCAGCCTCTACAAGTGTACTTGTTCTGTAACAAACCCACCTAAGAAAACAAAATCATGACTTAGGGAAGAAACACTAATCAGAAATATTTTAAAATGTTAATTACAGCAGTCATTTACAACTCAAAATATTATGCATTGACCATATCAGAATTTTACAAAATAGAAAATAAGTCCTTTGCAGAAAAATAAAAGTTACATTAGAAATGCTTATGCTATATATATTTCTACTGACATATATTTAGTCCTGGCAAAACACGGCAAAGGCAATTTATGAAATCCGCAATAAAAGTTATTCAAATGCAATGTCCTAAATCTAATTACTTTATGAGTATGCATTTCTGCATTTTCTATTAAGACTAAATAATTTCTTTCAGCAAAAAGTACTGAGCCTACTTTTAAAAAACCCGAACAATCAAACTGCTACTGAGACTAAAAAGATGGTAATTCTGGCAAAAGTCAAAAGTCTGTTGACAAAAATTATCCAAGAATATATGCGTTTAGAAAGTCAATTAAAACTAATTACAATGATTCCTCATCTTACTTTTATTATTCCTAAATAACTGGTAATTTCACCTTAAACTACGGTGCGAAAACAAAAGGCATTAAGAAACTAAATTTTTTAAAAAGTAATTAGAAATATGTGTTTTTAACATATTACGGTTTTCAGGGGGAAACCAGCTACTATGAATCTTCAATAGAGGTTTTCAAAGCCTCTCTATTCCCGCAAAGAAAATTTTCAAGTTAACTAAAAATATCCATTTCTTTGAAAACCCAGCTAAAGATACATAGCAGTTTGGGGTATGTGATTCAGCCACCGCCCTAACCCTTACACCAATTTCACGCTCAGTACTTGCAGGCCGAGCAGTAAGATAAAACTGTCTTTTATTTTTAATTAGGAGTTGGGCGGGGAGGGGGGCGGTCACTAGGTGCGAAGAACGTTTCCTGCGTACGTCCCACAATGCTCAAAAGTAAACAAATCAAAGCCAGAAACAAACTGGAATGACAAGCAGGAAGGGAAAGTAAGAGACAAAGAAAAAGATTTGCTTAAGAAAAGAAATTAAGACCAACCATTCACAACTTTCATTTGGACCTAAGGCAACACTACGGCGGGCCGGCGCTCCGCGGCGGGCCAACTCCGCAGAAACAACAAAGAGGCGGCCGCGCGGGAGTCCCGGGCCGAGTCCGCTTGACGCTGCGACGGACCGCGATGAGTCCGGGGCTCGAGGGCCCGGGAACCCCGCGCCCGGACGGCTGGCCGGCAGGAGCCTCCCGCGCGCTCACCGCCGCCGCGACCGCGGGGGGCCCGCCCGGTAGCGGGGCAGGGAGCGTTACCTGCTTGGCAACGACGACGGCGAGCGGAGTCCGCGGCGTTCCTCGGCCCCCGCCCCTCTCGGCGCCGCCCGCTGCCCGCGCGGACTGGGCCGCCCCGCGGCGGGGGGCCTCTCTCGCGGCACCCGGCTCCCCTCGCCCGCTCCCGCCCGCTGGACGGCGCGGAGCTGAACGGAGAGCGGACAGGGCCTCCCGGGGACGGCGGGCGGGCGCGACGTGGGATCCGCCGCCCGAGCCGCTTCTTTACCGCAGCGGAGGCGACGACTAGGGCCGTGTTGTTGCTGCCAACTTGTCGAGAGGACACTGAGCATGCGCAAACGGAGACCACATCCGGGTAATTTCAGGGTTTGGCCCTTTTTCCCCCCGCAGCTTTCCTTTCTCCAGGCTGCCCCCGCCTCCCGCCCCAAGTGCCTGGAGGGAGTTCTGCGCAGGCGCCCGCGGGGCAGCGCCAGTCGGCCGGCTGCACAGAGTCCTGTCCCGGCTTTGGGCCCTGGCGGGGGGCGCAGCCCAACAGTGTTTGGGGGAAAGGCTGCTTTGGGGAAGTGGTCACCAGAAAAACTGGCCTCCCTTTGCAAAATGTACCCATGCAACGCGGAAAAGCTTGGAGTATAGTGGGCGTCCAGTAAGGCTTTATAAATAGTCCAGCCTTGTTTTCTGAAGCGCTGCTTGGGCAAAAAAACGATTTTAACAGCTAGCTCTGGAGAAGGTAGTGGTAGTGGTTTACTTTGGAAAGAAACTGGTAATGACCGCACCTTCCTTCCCTTTCATCAGCCGTGGATCACTAGATCCAAAGGTGTCTAAACTCACTTAACTCTCCCCTTGAGTTAAAGAGATGTCAAGGAATCACACATTTGAGAGTGTGGCCAGGTGTTAGCAAGAAGTGAATGGTCCTCGTTGGAAGAGATTTAGGCCGAACCTGAATTTGGAAGGGACCTTCAAGGACATACAACACCTGTTAACTAGGTTACCCAGGGAAAGGTGTAAACTCTGCTTTTGACTTAATACTTATTTTATTTGAAAATTTTACAAGATGCGTGCATTTCTTTTATATTTAAATTTTTTCAGAAAACACATACTAGTTATATACTTTTTTCATCAGTCAGGAAATACTTGCTTTGGGGGGTCCCACAAAAACTTATCATTGAAAGTTCTGAAGTCATTTCTTAAATCTCACTGCCCTCCTATCTTTCACACACAGCAAACCACTCCTTACTCCCATGCTGTCCTCCCCGCCATCACAGCCTGGGCTCTTTCCTTTCTACCAGAAAGCCTCTAAAACAGGTGACTACCTGGGGGGTTCATGAAGACATTCAAAGACTAGTTTTAAGGGTATCTATTTTCAGATCTTCCACTGCTACATGTACTATTTAATAAAGTTGCTCAGCTTGAGAAAGCACCTGAGGACACAGCATCCCCTTTCAAAACTGCCTTCCAACCATACAAAAAATAAATAAAAACTCTTACCATTATTAAGCTGCATCAACCCAAAATGTAAAAACCTCCAGGACAATTCAAAGGAACGATTCAAATTGGTGTCCGTTCTGAGAAAGTGAATGACCCAAATGAATGGGTTATAAGTTCTTTTGGAAGTCAGGTGGTCTCCAGTTCTTTGCTAACAGATTCAAGGCAGATCTAAGTGAACAGCTAATAGGCCAACATAAGATTCTTAGGCAATATACCTTAAAAGGAATTAAAAGAATTGAGCAACATTGCTATAACTAAACTTCTTCCATTCCCATCTGTATTAATTATCTGTTGCTGTATAACATGTTTGGTGTATTACACCAAATTTAACAGCTTAAAACAAACACATTTATTAGCTCACAGTTTCTGTGGGTCAGGAATCTAGGCATGGCTTATCTAGGCCACAAAGTGAGGCTTGACTGAGAAATGATCCACTTCCAAGCTCATGTGGTTGTTGGCAGCATTCAGTTCCCTGTAGGCTGCAGGACTGAAGGCCTTAGTCCCTTGCTGGCTGTCTCCTGGAGGGTCCCTCAGTTCTTTGACATGCAGCCCTCATCATGATGAGGAAAGCTTACAATATGGCAGCTTGCTTCTTCAAAGCCAGCAAACAGGAAAGTCTCAGTGTAAGACAATTTTATGATTACAATTTTATGTAACATAATGATATATACCCAATACATACATCCTGTCACTTTTACCATACTTTTCTGTCCAGAAGTAAATCACAAGTCCTGCCCCCACTCAGGGACAGGAGACCACACAAGGGTATGACTACCTGGAGGCAGGGATCAAATGGGGCCACAGTAAAGTTCACCACACCATCTATTTATTTACACAAATAACAACCTCTATAAGCTGAACCTCCTCAGAATCTCCTTTCAGGTTCTCTTCACCTTCTTGCTTAAGGGAAACCTGACTTTCTCCTGGGACACTGGTTCTTCGTCCCCCTCTCAAATAGTGACACTGTGTTTTCAACCATAAGCCTTTTAGACTGTGCCTGGAGGTGAGGTAGGTGTCCTCCTTGCTCAACATTGCTTCAAGACCATCCCCCCTGCTTCCTCCCTATTAACCCGCAGTTTTTAATCTTGTTTTCCAGTACCCATCATCATCACTGTTTTCATTCCCCTTAATTTTTTCACCATTTGCTTCTGTCAGTCACTCCAATACCAGTTCTGTCTTAATCATAGGTGGTAATAATACACACTTAGATGATCTTGCCAATACCCTGACCTCTCAGTTCCGACTTCTCTAAGGATCTTGTCCTACACTAACTCAGCCACTCACTCTCCTGGGCATAATCACAGGAGCCTTATCAAACTTTGCAACTTCATCATAATCACAATTTCAAACATCTCACACAATGAACACCTCCCCATATTTCCGTATTTCCCTGCAGTGCTCTAAGTCCAGCAATTCTTCAACCTGCATATTCACTCTCTCCCATTCTTACCCAGCTTAAACCTCTGACCAGTCATTACAATCACTCCTTCTCACACACCCTCCACCCCCCAACTCTTCTCCCCCTTTGTTGTGCTGGCTGGCAAAACCACAGTCCTGATTCAGACCAACTCTTCATCTCCACCACAACAGCACCCATGATCTGCCTGTGGCTAGCTAAAAATACAACCACACTGACTAGTTTCACTTGAATTTCATCACCATGAGCCTCAAGTGAACCATTAGTGCTGCCCAGGAATCCTACTTCCTTCTCCCTTCTTCTGGATTTCATACCTTCTCTTTTCTCTAACCTATACTGCTTTCCCTCCCATGCCCATCCTCAGTTAACCTTGTGCCCTATTTCATTGAGAAAATTGAACCAATGAGATAAAAATTTCCATAGCATCTCACTGTTTCATCTACCCATAACCACATACCAGCATCTATAACCTCTTTCCCAACTTCCTCTTGATTACACAGTTGAGTTTTCCATGCTCCTAGCTAAAGCGAGTCCCCCTGCTAACACAATAGATCCCAATCTTGCCTTGCCTAATCAAGATCATCACCGTCACCCCAGCAATGGTCTCCCCTCTTCTATACTGTCAGTGTTCCCTCTCTACTGGTCATTCCCATAAGCTTATGAGCAGTTGTTATTTCTCCAGTCCTACAAAATCTTCTCTCTGACACATTTCCACTGTCAGCAACTGCCCCATTTCTCTGCTGCATTTGCAAGAAATCTTCTAAAAGATTTTTGTATACTTTCTGTCTCTAGTTCTCCCACTCTGCAGTAGCAGAATGCATACCATATAATTTATATAGACATGCCAAATACAGTGTGTATGATAAGACTGCATCCATACATAAGAGAATCATAACACACATGGTTACATGTGGCATGTTAGGTCTTCAGATGAGAGGGTATCCTACATTCTCTTAAGTCCACTTATGTCATGCTTTCATCCTTACCACCGTAACAAAACTACTCTTGTCAAGGTCAACAATGAACTTCCCATTGCCTAAGTCTAATGATTTAATCTCAATTCTCATTTAATTGACCTGTGTGTAACAGCTGGCACAACTAATCACTTTTTTTTATACTGCAGCCTCTAGGTTTTTCACCTTTACCACTGGTACCTCTTTCCCTGTCTTATTTCTTCTTCATTGATTCCACCTCTTCTCTCAGACCTCTTAACCTTGCACTGGCCTAGACTCATTCCTTGGATTTCTTCTGTTTGCTATCTATACTCATTTCATTGGCAATCTCATCATATGTCCTGACTTCAATACCATCTAAGATATATGATATCATCATATATGACAACTTCCAAATTTATATCCTCAGCTAAGACCTCTCATCTGAACTCCAGATACTGATATCCAATAGTCTACTGTATAGCTCAGACTTAACATGCAACATACTGAACAATATTCTCCCTCAAACCTGTCTAACTCACCAACTTTTTTTAAAGGTATGATTGCTATACACTCTTATGAAGGTTTCACATGAAAAAAAAATGTGGTTACTGCATTTACCCATATTATCAAGTCCCCACCCTTACCCCAAAGCAGTCACTGCCCATCAGTGCAGCAAGATGCCACAGGTCCACTATGTGCCTTCTTTGGGCTACACTGTTCTCCCTGTGATCCCCCACACCATGTGTACTAAACATAATACCCCTCAATCCCCTTCTCCCTCCCTCCTCACCCACCCTCCAACACCCCTACCCTTTGGTAACCACTAGTCCCTTCTTGGAGTCTTTGAGTCTGCTGCTATTTTGTTCCTTCAGTTTTGCTTCATTGTTATACTCTACAAATGAGGGAAATCATTTGGCACTTGTCTTTCTCCACCTGGCTTATTTCACTGAGCATAATGTACTCCAGCTCCATCCATGTTGTTGCAAATGGTAGGATCTGTTTCTTTCTTATGGCTGAATAGTATTCCATTGTGTATATGTACCACCTCTTCTTTATCCATTCATCTACTGATGGACACTTAGGTTGCTTCCATATCTTGCCTATTGTAAAAAGTGCTGCGATAAACTTAGGGGTGCATATGTTGAATCTGAGAAGTTGTATTCTTTGGGTATATTCCAAGGAGTGGGATTCCGGGGTCAAATGGTATTTCTATTTTTAGTTTTTTAAGGAACCTCCAAATTGCTTTCCACAATGGTTGAACTAGCTTACATTCCAACCAGCAGTGTAGGAGGGTTCCCCTTTCTCCGCATAATCACCTGCATTTGTTGTTCTTAGTCTTTTCAATGCTGGCCATCCTTATTGGTGTGAGGTGATATCTCATTGTGGTTTTAATTTGTATTTCCCTGATGATTAGTGATGTGGAACATCTTCTCATGTGTCTGTTGGCTATC